CTAGAGACATTTTCCCACATGGCACTTTGAACAGCACCTTTAAAAGAGCATTTCAGTGCTCTAAAACAAATTATTATCCTTGTTGAGATCTATAGATATAGTAAAAAAAAAAAAAAAACCCACACTGAACTGTACACTATACAGGGATGAATTGTATGGTAGGTTAAGTATACCTCGTTAAAGCTGCTATTTAAATAGGAGATTATGATAAAGAAAGGCATACCGATAAATTTGATAACTTAAAGACAAAAATTTCATGAAAGACACAAATGACCGAAATTAGGAGAAGACAACGACAAAATCCAAATAGTAAATACAAACTTGAAGTGTGGATGGCTTCACAGTGAATTCTATAAAATAAATAAAAAAGCATTTCTGTTATAAGTGTAACTAATATCAATTATACACTTAGAAAACAGTTAAAATGGTAAATCTTATGTGATGTATATGTGTATACTTTACCACAATAATAAAAAAGTACAAAAAGAGTATTTCTATATACATTTTTGTCTTTACCAAAAAAAAAAGTGAAATGATAAGAAAGCTGAGGCCCTCTTAAGCCATACATCTGAAGCCTCTTTTACTTAAAAAAAAAAAAAAAAAAAAAAGGCCAAGGGCACCTGGGTGGCTCAGCTGATTGAGCCTCTGACTCATGATTTCAGCTCAGGTCCTGATCTCAGGGACGTGGATCAAGCCCCAAGTCAGGGTCCACACTCAGCACAGAGTCTGTTTGTCCCTCTCTGTTCCCACGCACCCACACTCATGCGCTCTCTCTCTCAAATAAATAAATAAAATCTTGTTAAAAAAAAAAAAGGCCAAACTAGCAAACCAACAGCAGTAGCAAAGCAGCCCAATTTAAAGGTCTGGGAGATACACACTCAGGGCCTTGGCCCTCTGAGATCCTACAAAAATAACTGTGAGCCAGTGCAGCTCCCAGGGTCCTCAAGATCCCTCTAGAACATCCATAAAACCAGTTCTAATCTCTAAACCACAGAACTCTGCACAAACTCAGAGCACAGAGTGAAACGAGAGTGCTCTGGGCTGCTTTCAGGTCTCATTTTAGGAAAAAACTGTTGCTCCTTGAAAACCTGGCCATATGCCCTATTACCTGGGCTTGGGGAAAATGCATCTGAATGGTTAAAAAAAAAAAAAAAAAATCACAGGAGAGAAATAAAGTGCCCAGAGTAGCCCTTGGTCAAACTATGGCTAGGATTCCAGGAACCGAATTCTTGCGTTGGCGAGGACCAAAAATTAAATGTATTACTTTTTATAAAAGATTTTATTTTTAAGTATCTCTACACCCAACGTGGAGCTTGAACTCACAACCCCAAGATCAAGAGTCACATGCTCCACCGGCTGAGCTAGCCAGGCGCCCCTAAATGTATTACTTTTAGATCATTCTAAATGACCACTCAGGACAAAATGAATCAACACGGAGAAATCAAGTACAAAACTAAAGAAAGGCTTATCCTGCAAAAAAAACCTAAGAAAAACAAACATCCCCGGAGGCACAAGTCTATTTAGGGCTTCTCTGAGGAAAACCAGCGAAGATCACAGCCCCCCGGCCACAATGATCGGACTCGAATACAGAAACTCGTATGGCAGTGAGTATGGCCCTTTGACAGAAAAGTTGCTTGAGGTGGTTCAATTCTACTACAGATGCCAAAGCCAGCATTTACGTGACTCGCTGTTCATTCCGTTCCACAAAGAAGGTAACACTATTAATATTACCAACAAATAAACTAATTTTTCAATTGGCCTATCTTTGGGTACCCCTGATACTTCTAAAGAAGGAACTGGAGAGTGGGATGGAGGGGAGAGGTGAGGGACAAAGCTTCACGAGGCTGAAGAGGATAAAGAGGAAAGACGACCTCCCAAGAGCAGCTACTTGTTTAGGAAACAGTAATATCTCAAGTCTACGAAGATAAGAATATTGATGGCTAAAAGGAGTTTAATAATTTCCCAACACTTTCAACCCCTCTCTAAGTATAAAGCTCCCTCCGATCGACTTGACATCATTTCCAGGTCATGCATAAACTTCTGAACTAGATTACCCCTAAGAGCATTACAAATTCTCCATTGATCTTTTACAACACAAGAACAGCAATACAACAGATGAGAAAACTTTATTTTTAGACTTGCAAAATCCCATGTTTACTTTTCTAAAACAGAAGTCAAACAACTGAACCTGCTTTGTTTGAATTTTAGTAAACCGATTCTCTCGTAATCCTGCGGCCCCAATCTCTGCCCAGGAGGAAATGAAGAAAAAGTGCTCTGTGCCACGCTGGAAAGTTGTTAAAACACGGTGCCTCCCGTCGTCTTCTGCTCAGGCACATCCCAGCCTCCTGCTGGTCGCAGTTCACACTGCCGGAGCCCTATCATATGACACCTGCCGAATGGAGGGGGGAGGCAGAGGCTCTCCACCCGCATTCGTGTCGAAACTAGTTCAGTGTCTGAACTACTAACTTCTGCGTGTAATGTTTAAGCAAAAGTGCTTCACCGTAAGTTCACTTGTAATCACTCAACTAGCATTAAACACGGAATGGAAATGGGTTTATAATTCCCTATAAACATTAAGCCCTGGCAAAACCCTATTCCAGCAATCTGATTTGTCAATAACATGGCCTCCGCACAGACCGTTTAGTTGGAAAAATATGAGATAAATTTAAAATGTAGAAAAGCCCTTGCCACAGTGTGAATGTGCAAAAACTAGGGGTAGAAGTAATAAGCAGGTGTTTCTGTTCTCAAATTCCTTGGGTAAACTGACCAACCATAATTAACAATGCCGTTACTGCAAGCAGAAAGAAGCCCTGCAATTAATCACATCACTTAAAAGATTTTTATTCATTAGCTCACAAAACTAGTCAACTCAAAATACTATGCTTTCAAAAGGCAAAGCTTGCATCATAACCCTGATAATTGACAAAATAAGCATATAAATTGATTATAACTAAATTCTGGTGTTCCCGTGATCCCCAGCCCCCTCCTCCTTTGTGCTCTCCCAGAACTCATTCTTCACGTTTTATAGAATCGTTTACATGAAGTTGCAGAGTCCTTGAGGGCAGGAACCATTTTTTTTAACTTATATACTACTAACATCTAGCACAATGCCTGGGACATAGTAGGGCCTTAGATTTTGTGCCACAAATAAAAAATAGGGGATCACATGCTATGAAGTATGTAAAAAGAGGTGCAGAGGAAGCCAATGTACTTTGCCTCAGGAAAAGCAAAAGGCTTCTCAAGGAAAATTCCCTCTGGCCTTGGAAGCTGAGTGAGATTCCCTACAAACATGGGCACTTGGATGAGAGAAGAGCCTGTGCCCAGACAATGAGGAATGGGAGACCAGATGTGTCATAGGACAGCAGAATATTCAGGGTACAATCAACACAAGCAGACTCTGGGAAGGGGCAAAACCAAAAAATTGAAGGGGCTTATATGCCAGGTTAAAGCAGTTTTCACTGGATAGTTTTTGAGAAGCCCGTAAAGTGATTTAATCCAGGCAGTGACACAAAGACAATCCCTTGACAACCCCTGGCCCAAAGTTTGGGAAGTCTGGGTTCTCAAAGAATTTTATAGAGAGATGTCTATTTTAGATTATTTGAAGTTTTTATATTCTGGGTGACTGTTCTGCCCATCATTTTCTCATATATATGAAATATATGTGTATTTCAGCCTATGCTGTTTCATGCACAAAGAAGCAGGGGATACTCATTTAAACGCCTAATGAAATTCTCCTGTTTTAATTCTTTAAAGGGGGGTCTGAAGAATTTTTTTTTAAAGAAAAGCAAAAAATATATATTTTGTATATATATGTGTATGTATACATGTGTATATATATACATATATATATTTAACATAAATATCCTCAATTCCTTTTTCAACACCGTAGTTAAATATCCAGCTACGGGAAAGCTGCACCCCATCGCAGCCCCAGTAAGGTTAGAAGCCGAGGGTCCACTTTGCCTGGAGGCTTCCCTAAGTAGGTCTAACAAGACTCTGAAAAAGGATGACCATTCAATAGGAAAGGTTCTAAGTAAAGGGTCAACACAAATCTCTGGGCCTTATCACGTGCTTGGCCCAAGGAAAAGTAATGCCGGCTTCTTGCCGTTGACTTTGCCAGGTTTTTAAAAATGTAAGATAAGGTGATATTTGTGAGCCGACTAGATGGCACCGAACGGCAGGAAGCAGATCACGGAAAGCCTCGGGTTTCACTCTTGCAGCTCGGCCCTGAACCAGAGAAAAGCACCGGCCCGGTGCAGGGGAGGAGGCCAGGGCGCCTGCTTTTCCCCGGGCGGCCGGGCTGGGCGGCAGGCGGCGCGCCAAGGCACCGAGAGGCGGGTACCCGGGCGCGCCGGGCTGCAAGACGGGCGTGGAGCAGCGGCTGTCAGGGAGGGAGACCAGCATCCTCCCCGGCCTTGGGAAAGAACCCGGGCCTCCGCGATTCCTACGTGGCCCCGTTACCCACCGCAAGAGGCTGCTCACAGGAGGCGGAGGCGCGGAGCGTGGAGAGCAGAGGCGCGGCTGCGCCCTCTGAGTCCCCCAGGACGCGGCCCCCCGGGCGCAGCGCGGGCGCGCTGGAAGCCCAGGGCGGCGCCCCCGCAACCCCACCCCACCCCACCCCACCCGCAGCTGCCTGCCCGCGTGGCCGCTCGCCACGGGCTGCGGCCCCACCGCGCGGGTGGAGGGTGATGCTGCGGCGTTGCCGGCTCCCCGGCTCCGCCGCCCCGGCGATCCGGGAGATAAAAGTTTGCAGCATGCGGCTCGTCTGCAGTGCGAGTCACATCCGCCGCGCCGCCTCCTGCAGCACCAGCGCTCAGAGAACGAACAAAAAAAAAAAAAAAAACTGTTGAAGCCGGTAGGCCCCGAAGCCGGCCGCTCTGCCTCCCGGGCGTGCATGCAGGCGAGCCCGGCATCCCGCGCCCCCTCCCGCCCCCGGCCGCGCCTCCCTCCCGGCCTCGGCGCTCGGCCTGCGCCGGCCCCGCCGCGCCCGCCGCACTGACCGATAACCTCCTGCAGTTCGTACGCGTCCCTGCAGATGGGCCAGCCGACGGCCTGCGCCGCCGGGGCCGGGGCCGGAGCCGGAGCCGGAGCCGGGGCCGCGGGCGCTGCCGGGGCCGCCGCTGCTGTCGCGGCCGCGGGGGCCGCCGCCGCCGTCACCGGGGCTATCTGCTGGGGCTGCTGGACGTGCACGGGCGAGCCGCTTGGCTCCGCCATGATGCTGCCGGAGGAGAGCGGGAGGACGCGCCGGCCGGCGGACGACCTTCCACTTGAAACTTCCCTTCCCTCACCACCGACACCTCTCGGCCGGCGCACGCCCTCCCCGCCGCGCCGCCGCCGCCGCCGCCGCCGCCGCCGGAGCCAGCCACGAGGGGAGGGAGCGAGGGAGGCCGAGCCGGGCGGAGGGAGGAGGCAGCGCCGGCAGAGGCGGGGTGGGGAGGAGGCGGCGGCCGCCGCGCTCGCCGCGCGCCCCGAGCCTCGCGCGCGCAGTTCTCTGCCTCCGCGAGGGGAACCGCCGCCCCGCCGCCCCCTCGCGCTCTGCTCGAGGCCGGGGAAGTTTCCACGGAAGGGGAGCAAGGCGGGTTTGTGTTCGCTTTGAGGGCCCGCGTCCCAGACGGTCAGGCTCTCCAGAAGATGCCCCCTGGGGACCCCGAGGGCGGGGTCGTTGAACCGCCGCCAGGTTCTCAGATTCAGAAGTCGCCCCAGCTAAGGAGAACCTGAAGTTCATTTACAAGTTAGCGAGAGAGACACCTACACGCGGGCCGTTTGTAGAACGCCAGTTAAAAAATAACCCAAGTTGTAACTTTCCTGCACATTACCTGCCAATATCCCTTTCCCACCTTGTCTAATCTAATCTCAGCCCTTCTATTTTTTTTCCGCCCCGAGTGAAACGTGATTCCTTAGGTCCCTGGCTGTTCACAGACTTTTCTTCATTTGTTCCCAGCCGCCTGGATCCCAGGGAAGTGATACAAGAGCCTATGAAGTTAGTGTTTTAAAAATGTGAGGGGTTTGGACACTTTATTTCAAATTCTGTGTTCTTAATAACATGCCACATTAACTCCTTACGACAAGAAATAGCAGGCATTTCTTTTGCAGAGCATACTGCATCATAAATAAACTGCTGAAAACTTCTGATTAATTGCTGGCTTTTTTTTCAACACTCCCAAAATTACCTCATCTTTAAAATTGCTACGGTATAACCATAGGTCTTCCTAATTATAGGTGTCATATTTCACGCTGAATGTTCCCTGTGTTCCCTCGGTAGTCATGACCAAGATTACACCATTCTTGTCTTAAGCAGAAACGGTGCAGTGAACCAATGGTCCTATTGGTCATTTTGCCAAAATTATCTTGTGTAGTTTTCATAACAACAACTACTGAATAAATGCATTAGAATAATGAGCATTATTTTAAAAAACTCCAAGAAAGATGTGATACTTTGTCTTCTGCATTTATACACAAAAATCTCAAGTTTTTTTGAAGACAATTAGGAAACTCAGAAATTCATTAGAAGAAATGTTATATGTCTAATCAAACAGTGATGTAAACTAAAATGAGTGTGCTTAATCTCTTACAGCATTATGGAACAGATGGGGTAAAGCAACTATGATGCTCTGGTCTATAAGCAGAAATGTATGCTGAACTAAGAAAGTGTACATCTTTTATGCATGGGTGTTCAAAAACTGTGTATTGATTTTAATGTCTGTCAAGAAACAGACAACTTCATGAACAAATAAATTCTAGGCCTCTGATGTTCTTAGTGGGGAGTAATAGGGAATAGGGGACCTCTCCTTTTCAAGCGCTGTTCCCCACCCCAAAGAACTTTTAAGGACTGTTTTTAAGGGAAAAGAAAAATGATTATATTGAATACGACCTCCATTTTGTCATATGAATTTATATTTTGAATTTCAAATCATGAAGTGAGACCGTAAAGGCCAGGAAAGTTCTTGGATCTTAATTGGAAAACATGATGCTGTCAGGACCAATAGCACAGATTTGAATCAAACACAGATCACTTAGTTTCCTACAAAGAACAACTGTTCCATAGTCACATACCAGATATCTGTACCCGGCCCACCACTTTCCAAATGGCCACCAGAAAGAGGACTTGCAAAAGCTGATGACTCAGTGTAGATGCATCACTACTACCAGTAAGTGGGTTTAAAGAAGAATGTTTACTATTGGCAGCTTTTAGAATCATTTTTATATCTAAAGAACAGAACATTAATTATATTTTTTTTAATTATAAAAGCATTCATTGGAATTTTAAGTTAATGTTTTCATAAGCAATTGAGTGAAGTGGTACTTAAAACTTAGAAATAAGTGTATTTAAAAAATATTCAACTGATAGGCAATTTTCCCTGAACGCCCATTACTAAATTTAAACTGAAAGATGGCAGGGGAGGAAGCCTTTAAAATATAAACAAGCTTTACTTCAATACATAAAGAATACATTCAGTCAGAGACTTTAAAACAGAAAAAATAAGAGTCTAAATTTTGTTAAGCTTTTACAACTGCCTCATTATAGGTCAGGGTTTCTCAAGTTCAGCACTTCTGATCATTTGTGCCAGATAATTCTCTGTCATGTAGAGGTCTGTTCTCCTGACCGCTACTCATTAGATGCCATAGTACCCCCACTCTCAGTCATGACTACCAAAAATATCTCCAGACATTGCCTCTGAAGAGCAAACTGCTGCCTTAGATAAACTATTTATACAAAATTGTCATCTTATAAACAGAGTATCACAGTGGTTCTTTGCTTTACAAAGAGCTTCTATAGTATTCAGTTAGTTATTTGTAAATCCTGAAGGGGATCAGAATCTGCGACCCCAAAATATGCCACTTTGGCATAAAAGCTATTCTGAGCTGAAGGCAATTAAGAAACAACAGACACAGGAAGAGCTCTCTGCTCCCCCATATCTGCCTGAAAACAGGGCATAAATTTCTCGCTTGTAAATGGAATTTCCATTCATAAAGGAAATTTCCATTTGTAAAGGTGCCCCCTCTTCCATAACAGAAAGAGGAGAATGACTCTTCTGGGGGGGGGGGGGAATGGCACTGAAATGAGTCTGCATGAACAATCTGTATCTATCCTTAGTTTACCTTACACACTTTCCAGCCACCATCCCATAATTCACCCCTGCTAGGAGCCAAACCTCTTTTTCCTTTGTCTAACCACTTCTCCACAATTTATCACCCTTTGTTAAAATGGTATATAAGCCCACCTCTTTGTTTATTCATCGCTGAGTACTCCTATATATATGGTCATTGCACATCCGCAAACGGTTTTTTCCTTTGCTAATCTGTCTTTTGTCAGTTTCAATTCTCAGGCCTCCAGTCACTAAATTTAAAAAGTTAGAGGAAGGTTTTTTTCCTCCTCTACATTCCTTTGAACATCTAAGAGATGTGTAGTGTAGTGGCCAAGGTTTTGAAGAAAGAAAGTGCCAGAATCAAACCTTTCCCCCACCATTTTTTTTATCTCTGACTTTGGACTTATTAAACTATGTCTCAATTTCCTCATTCACACCATCAACATCCTAATAACTTCCTTGTGGGTTGATACAACATAATTTGTATGTAAGCAGCTCCACATAACGGCTGACACATAGTACATGCTCAGTAAAATGAAAACCCTCATCAATGTCATCATCTTCATTATCCTTATCTGCCAAGATTTGTAACAAAATATATAGGAGAAAGAGACATAATAATGGCAATCATGAACCGTACAGAATATAAGCTCCCTGAGGGCAAGAATGTTTGTTCCTTTGGTTCACTGCTGTTTCCCAGTGCCTGGAATAACATCTAGCATGGAATATACTCAGTAAATATTTGTTGAATGAATAAAATAACACTTTTTAAATGTATAAAAACATGCTTTTAAACATCAGAATGAGTCAGCTATGTCAAGGGTGGATTACATGGGAGGAAACTGGAGGCAGAGAGACCTACTTGAAAGCCACTGTTCTAGTCAAGTTAGAGAAATGTGCATGTGAATAAAGCTCATGATATTGAAGATAATGATGAGGGGGTAGATTTAAGAATCATTTAAGGAGCAGAGAAACAGAACTTGATGACAGATGAGATTCCTTTAAAAATCAAATTGCCCCAATGCATTAAAAAAAAGTAGATGTACACAAGTACAATTTATAAAATGTTTTAGAAATATGTCTAGTGAAGGAATGAGAGGCTCTTGATTGACAGATGGTTTTTCTCCCATGGCTAACCTGTAATCTACTGCAAAGTCACGGCCACTGCATGGTGGGAAAAGGCCAGATGTTCTTGGGTGGGAAGAAAAGCTATCACCATAATATCTTCCATCTCTAACTCTTTCATACTTATGCTTTTAGTAACTGTGTTTGAGGGCAAAATTGTGGAAGAGCTGGATTTTAATTCAAGCGATTGCTTCTAAAGACAAGGATCCAATGTTTTTGAGTTAGGGTGATGGCAAGGCATAGTAAAAAAAGGGATCAGTTTAACTCAGTAATAGCTGGATTGAAATACTTGCTCTGCACTTACTAGCTGGCAGCTTAAACTCTCCCAGCCTGTTTTCTTTTTTTTTTTTTAAAGATTTTATTTATTTATTTGAGAGAGAGAGAATGAGAGACATAGAGCATGAGAGGGGGGAGGGTCAGAGGGAGAAGCAGACTCCCCGCCAAGCAGGGAGCCCGATGCGGGACTCGATCCCGGGACTCCAGGATCATGACCTGAGCCGAAGGCAGTCGCTTAACCGACTGAGCCACCCAGGCGCCCTCCCAGCCTGTTTTCTTAAAGCGGGGACAATCATCCCAGGATGACTGGGTGGCTGGGAAGATGAAATGAGCTGGTATGTGCAATACACCTGACCCACCGCACACAGAAGTGGCTACAAAAGTCTGGACTGGGAGGGACCCGGGGGGGGGGGGGTGTAGTCTCAGGGGAAGGTAGGTATTATAGGTTGAATTGTGTCCCCTAAAAAGATAATGCTGAAGTCCTAAACCCCAATGCTTGTGAATATGACCTTATTTGCAAATAGAGTCTTGGCAAATGTAAGCAAGTTAAGATTAGGTCACACTGGGTTAGGTTGAGCCCTATTCCAGTGACTGGTACCCTTCTAAGAAGAGGACATTTGGACCCAGAGACACAGACACACACAGGGAGAATGCCATGTGACCAGGGAGGCAGAGACTGGAGTAACAGGTCTATAAACCAAGGAACGCCAAAGATTGCCAACGGCAACCAGAAGCTAAGAGAGGGGCATGGAACAGATCCTCCCCGAGAACCTCCAGGAGGAACCAACCTTGATTTTGGACTCCTAGACTTCAGACTGTGAGCGAATACGTTTCTGTTATTTTAAGCCACTCGGTGTATGGTACTTTGTTACAGCAGCCCTGGGTGACTAATATAGCAGGATTACGGGATTTGTTCTTCAGCCACCTGCATGCTATTTGGGCTGACTTTAGCAAAGAGCATAACGGAAATTAGCCTCTCCTTTGGGGCCACCACGCTGCCAAAACCCTGGACTTTACAACTTGCCTTTAATATTAGTTTCAAAACAACCTGCAGAGTAAGTATCTTAATGAATTCT